TGGGGCGGGGAGGAGGGATGCGGGGGTGGGAGGAGGACTCTTCCTTCTGAAGTTCCCATTCCCAAAAAGCCTGCTTTCTGGTTGTGGCATCACCTCTGGTCCATCCACCCTTCCACTCTCCCCATTCATCAGCCCTTATGGGTGTCCCACCCACCCCTCTCTAACAAGTGCCTTGCAGTCAGCATTTTAGCAATGCTTGCTGGTCACACTTCTCCCTCTCTATCCCTGGATGATCTCACCCATCTGCTTTCCCTTTCCTGGTTTTTCTTCCACTGAGCCCTTCCCCAGGAAACTCTAACTGTGTATTGATGGACAACCAATGGGACTGTGTGATGTGTAACCACAGCAAGGCCTTCAATACACTGGGTCTTCTGCCATCAGGTATTCATCACAGAGACTCTGTTGAATCTTTTCAATAACCCTTAAACCACCAAATAATTCTATACCATTTACCGAGGTACAGCAAGGCATAAGGCCAAGCGTAATCCTAGGTACTGAATCTACTGTACCAATAACCGTCACAACCCTTGAGCGATTACTTAACTGCTCTATGCCTCATCTCCTCATTTGTAAAATGAAAGAGCATTACTGTCTCCATCAGCATCATGGGTACGGAATGAGATAATGTACATGAAGTGCGAGAAATCACTACATGGCACATAATCCTCAATCAAGAGGAGCTTCTAACTGAGAATGACGATGATAAGGACAAAGACGGTTACCCTGCACAGTTATTACTATTCCAATTTTACAGATAGGAATATTAAGGACACAAGGTCACACAGCTAGTAAATGGTAGCAGGAAGTTTAAATGCAGGTCTCTCTGCTTCCAAAATGCATGCTTTTCCAATGCTACTTCCACCCCGTCCTTCTCACCCTGTCTGCTACTTCACAGAGGAGCTACGAGTCCATCGGACACCCTCAAGTTTGTAACAAGGAGCAGAAAGAGCTCAGCTGATACAGGTGCTGTAGACTTGGGAAATTAATAAAGGATTCCAAGAAAACACAAGATTAAAGATCCATAATTTCATTTTTAAAAGACAGAGCTTCAATGTTTTATGTGAATTCATTCCAAGGTATTTTTCTCTACAGCTGCCACCTTCTATAACAATAAAACTGCTTTGTCGAGAATAGGAACTTAATGAAATGTCACTTTACAAGTTTTAAGTGAAAGAAGCTTTTTAATTATCTTGCTTAAATTGAGTGGCTATGATCTTTCATTTTTAACGGCAAACATTAAATTTGAGTCACAGTGTTTAATACTGTTTCTTATTTGAAACAGATGTCTAATATCCTTATAAATACTGCTTAAAATTTTAAATCAATTTGAAATTACATAAAAATTGACCTACATGGAGAGCATGCTTCGTTTCTGCCTATCCATTCTGGGGACAGTATCCCAATTTTAATTGAGTGTGGAAACCACTACTCTCCCACTCTTTGGCCATGTGGTCAGGTGGAGCTAATGGCACTGATTGGCTCCAGCAGTGGGCACGTGACCTAGGCCTGGCCAATGAGAAGCTCATGTACCCTTGGCCCCTTGACTAAATGAGAGAGAGGCACATGACCCCATGTCCTGGCCAGGGAGAGCCTAGCCCTGGGACTGTTAATCAAACCACAGGAAAAGGGAAGCCCTTTTCCACAGGAAATATTAAGCTGATCTCCATCACCACTTGGGGAAAGTTGCTTAAGAATGGAGCCAAAAAACAGGAAGGCAGAGATGGAAGTTTCTTCCTGTCCTTCGATCACCTGGATCCAGCTGTGACTAAGGCCAGACCCCTGAAGCTTTTCCGTTACACATGCCAATAAATTCCTTTTTGTTTGTTTGTTTAGGCCAGTTTAAGTTGGGCTTCTGCCATTTCCAACCAAAAATATCCCAACACAACCTATTTGTGCCAAAGAGCTAAGATCATTCACTAAAAAAAAAAGCATAGCTGATTTTTGCAGGTTTGTGAGAGCAGCCAAATGTCATCACGTTGAATTCACTTCTGTTTTGTTCTGCATGTTACTGCACTGTGATTTAATTTTAAAAAGACAGAGGGAAAAAAAAAAAGGCTCACTCCTTGATGTGCATGTGAGTCTGTCTTAAGGCAATTAAATTTCTATTTATCTTCACTGTGCTTGATCTCAGATTTCTAAAGTTAACTTTCTAACTTTTTAATCATTGTTGCCTGTTCTAAGATCTACTTCCATCAATTATTTTCTCCTTCGCTACTGATAACCTCCTCCCAAAACCACCCTAAGCTTTTCTTACTGGTTCCTACCCTTTAGCCTGTAAGTACACCTAAGTCTCCTCCACACAAAAATTAAATCAAAAAAGAGAAAGAGATTACAATATACAAAATCATACACACAGGCAATCAGGCAGAAGTAATCAGAAAAAAAATTTTTTAAAAAGTATAAAATATTAAAGATGCTTGTCTCTGGTAGTAGGAATAGCTGACTTTATCTTTCTTGAAAAAAATACTTTTCTGTACTTTTGATATTTTCTTGGTCTTGCTTTTATAACAGAAATATATATATTTTTAAAATAACTTCTTCTTTCAGCCACCAACGTCTTTCCATCCTTTACTGCAGACATTAAATAAAGACCACGCACACTTCCTTGCTCCTTGCTCACTTCCACTTGGACTCAATTATTACACCACGCGACTGAAAATATAGCCCCCCACGCCCACCCCAGGTGACCAGTGTGGCCATCACAGCACAGCCAATGGCTTCTCTTCTCCCTTTAGCCCATTTGATAATCCTCTATGGCTTATCGGCCATCCCTTCCCTTGGCTCAAGTTTGAAACTGGAACATTATCCTCAGATTTTCCTTTCCTTTGCTTCCCCATTCAGTGGTTCAACAAATCTTCTCAATTATACGTACAAGTGCACCCTGAACATCACCTCCTCTCCTTTCCCACTGCCCCTGTCTGCCGTCTGACCCTCTGGTGGCCTCACTCTACTCCTCCTCCATGCCCCCACCTCTCCATCTCACATAGGGCCCTGCCTTGGAAGAGTTAACACCCTACGGCTCAAACATAATCAGTTAATTCCCAGACCTTAACATTTCTGATGGCTCTTAAATGCAAGCAAAATCACCTACGAGTTCTGGCCTGGCATCCAGTGGAGAGATCCAGAAAAAAATTCTTCTCCCAAAGAATAAGATATAAGCCCAGAAAAATAGATAAAATTTTACAAACAAGATTGGGGAAAAAGGCCAATCCTGGCAGAGGGAACAGCAAAAAAACAAGGAACCAAGACGGAAAGCATGAAGTCGGTCTGGGCCCCTGCGAGAGACCTCACTGAGCCGGCCGCCAGCTCACCTCTCAGGCCCTGGCCTCTCTCACCAGGCAGCGTGCCCTTCCACCTCTTGCAGAGTCAGTCGGCTAAAGGCCGAAACATAGGTGACCTTCCTGTTCCCAAAGGGTTCTGGGTTCGAGCCGGTGGACAATGGAGAATAACTGAAAGATTTTGAACAGAGGTCTCCTAAAAGGTCAGCAGAGTGTTTGAGGAAATTAATCTGGCAACGACAGACAGAAATAGAAGGGAGAGAAGGAAGGAGGGACCGAGACACTGCAATGTACGAATAAGGTAAGGATGCTGAACTCGTCGTGGCTACACGTGTTCGTAATAAACTCAAACGGTGCCACCAGGAGTTTGGAGAAATCTATACCGCTTCTTTTGTACCTGAAGTCCCATATAAAATGCACATTTAACTTCCAAAAGACTTTACGTTCCCATTATGGTCTTCTCTGAATTCTTCCTTATAATAAAAATGTCTGACTCTATTTTTGATGTTTAACCGCTGACAGCTTTCAAGTCCCACCACTCTCCTTTTGCCCCACGTCTGTGCAAGCTGATAAAAAAGCTAGAGAACCTCTGCCTTTGTGCTGGTAGAAGATCAAACCATTCAAACCTCTGCCCATGCTTAGGAGCCCTCGTCTCTGCCCAAGTTCCAACTCCAATATGAACCAAAGCCACCGGCCCCTTCTTCACTCAAGCTGATGGACCAGTTTGGGCGCCTCCTCTGCTTGTCCCAGAAAGCCTCATTACGTGAGTGATCAATCTTTTCAAACTCTCTTGGGGTGTGTGTGTGTGTGTGTGTGTCTGTGGCACCATCAGTCTTGACACCGAATCAGTTTGGGGTGAGTGAGGCAGAAGTTGATCCCACGTCCACGGAGTAACCACAAATGCACTTAAATAGTGACCTACTGCAAAGTCCTTACTATACCTAGATTGGAGGTAGGGAGATGCAGAGAAGGGGCATATGGAAATACTGAAAGACTCTGTGAGCTCCAGAAACTTCTCATAGAGAGAGGGCCCTTTATTAAATGTCCTGTGGTCTAAAGATGAACTCAATATTGACTGGCTATGCTGCGTGGTCAGACATTCACTCAAATATCTAGTTATCAACTTTAAAACAACTGACTGTGTATTTAGTAAAGACTTAGCTCCAGCCTCTCCCTATTGGCTAACTGTAAGACACTGCCCAGTCACAGGAGCTACGTGCTTAATTCTCTCATAGTCCCTTGCTCTTACCTAGAAGAAATTGGTAGAGGTTGGGGCAGAAACACAAATATTTCCCTTTCTTAACATTCCGAGTTAAGAGGATAGGGCAACTGAAAGGCTAAAATGAAAAATCACAAATAACATCATTCTTCAAATAGCACTTTAGTCTTAAACCAAATGATAATCTTGATTTGTGCTTAGTACAGAAAGTATTTCCATGTCTTTTCAGCCATACCTACATATAGCTAAAGGTCATAATCATGAAAAATAGTGTCTTCCTCAGAAAGAGTTTAGAAAATCATAATATTAAGTACTCACACATCTTTAGCTGCTCCTGTAGGGCCTAGGGGGAAAAAAAAGGAGAGATAAGTTTGTATTAGTGGATAGCTACAAAAAGTTTAAGGCCAATTCCCAACTAAAATAATATTCCAGAAGAGGCAAATTGAGAATACGGTTTTTTAATAAGATTATTTCAAAAAAGAAAAAAGGCAACATAACCGTAAATTCCAGATCTTAAATTTAGAAAGTATTGGTTCTGAAAGAGATTTTACAGATCACCTAATCCAACCTCCTCGTTTTACAGATAATGAAACTGATGGATTTGAGAAATATTTTCTTCTCTAAGCCACACCTCTTCTATGCTGGTGTCCACATGGCATTGTTACAAGTTACACTCTGCCCTGGTCACAAAGTAAAGCGAAGTCACAAAACGAAACGGAGGTGATGTCCTAAATGAATTAGGAAGTGTCGAGAACACCAGCCTAGCTCTAAAAGGAGTTACATACATTAATAATTCTGCTTCTAGTTGCTATTGAACTCTCTTATTTCTGCTCCCACCGCATACCAGAAACAACCCATCTCTTTTGGAAACCATTTCTATCACTGATCGCAGATTCTCCACCTACCACACATTCCCATCCCCACTCTCCCTCTTCCAAATATCCTTATCTAGTGACCTAGTACTTGGTTCCAACTTTACTACATACATGGCATTAAATGTCCTTTAACCTCGTTAAAACCTCGCTTTTCTCGTGTGTCAAATAAGGGTAATAGGAGAACCTTTCTCAAAGGTTATTGTGAAGATTTTTTTTTTTTAATGTGTAAACACAGCACAAAGTCTGGCACATAAAAATAGCTAAATTATTATTAACAGTCACATTTAACTTAATATCTCCATACCTATGATGGAAATTAAAATAACCTCTGCATGAGTCACAGAAAAGCGAAAATAAAGGAAGATGTCCTAGAAAGTAAGCAAGTAAGTTTGCAGGAAAAGTTATTGTCAAGGTTGCAAGAACTACACCCCAGTGATACTAATTCAGGATCTGTGATGCTGCAAATTCAAAGCAGAGCGTAAAGATAATCAAGACTGTTTCAAAGAAATACTTTCAAGGCTTTGCCCAAACCTGAATTTTATAGCAAACTTAGCTCCTTTCTTCAGGGAAGAGTAATATTTCTGTGCCACAACCATCATTGAAATTATATAAATAAAAACTGCTTTGGAATCTGAGATCACAAAACCGAAAAATCTTAAAATTAAAAAAAAAAAGTCTTGACACAATACACTGCCAACAGTGTAGTATTCTGATAGGAAAAAAATAAACAAAGGATTAGTGCCACCGAAAACCCGCGGCGATGAATATCTTACTTCAGAGTCAAAACAAGCATGAGAATCTGGAAGAAAGTCTAGAATAAAAATAATACCCTCATTTTCTAATTTTTATTTTCACAGAGAAGGACAGGGAATGTTTTGGTGTTTTGAGAGATGGGGGGACCAAAAGTGTCAGAAACCTGTGTTCTGTGAAGTCGAACAGAGAGAACAGATTACAATGTGGACCATGAATCCATTTAGAGATGACAGACCATCTAGTACAAGCCACAGGCAGAGCAGAGAGACAGAAGCCGTCCCGCTCCAGGGATGGAGCAGGGTGCTATGCAAAGGATGCCATGGAATTGGAGGGCAAAAAACCTAAGTCCTTGTTCCAGTATTTGTCTAAGTCAATAAATCACTTCGCTTCCATTTCTAACACTGGGCTGATAAAGGCAGCTGAGAAGACAAAGCACAATAATGTGTGTGAAATTAGTTTCAAAACAGCACCATGTTATCCAATCAGTACTTAATTTTAAGGTCACCAGGAGCCCTCTAGCCACTTCACCTTGATTGCGCCAGCTGCACGCACCCAGTTCGATTCACCATCTAACATCCTGGCAAGCCCAAGGCAGATACCTGGTGTTGTCTTCCAGAAGGAAGTCAGAGATCATTTTTCTCAAATGTCCCTCATTTAAAGGGCACATCTCTTTAATAATTGCGATGGTGAAGATGGCAAAGAAGTCCAAAACACTACATCAAGTAGATACGTATGATTGTAGTATATGCTCCATTTTTTTTTTAAGGGCAGAAAATGTGCATCTTCGAAGCAAGGTAACATGGCATTAATGATACGTTTATAAACCCAAGGCAGCACACAACTTCTCAGAGTTAAAAAAAAAAAATTGTAATTGTTGGAAACCCTGGGCAAAACTATCAGAATATCTAGGTATATAAAATGTGAAAGTTCTCTTCATTCTTTGAAAGTATAAAATCATAAAATTATTAGAAGAAAATTATCATTACTCCCACTGCAACATTTTAATCACGCTTTACCTATATATTGATTATAATTCACCAGACAGATGTCTCTACTCTAATTTATGCAAAAAATACTTTAACTAGAACTATTCAGATAGTGGCAAAATCCTATTTGCATTAAAGTGTGTTTATGGTTCATGTGATCTGTCATTTATTAAACAAGCATAGTGGTGTGTCTAATTCTTTCCAGGCCGGGGGATAGAGCAATCATCCCTGTTAGCAACACTTCATTTCCTGCCAAAATGACTCCTTATTGTTTAAATATAGCCTTGGTGCATTATTATAATGGCCTTAAGAGAAATAGAGATGAGGGAAGGTAACAATGTTTCTTGTGGAATAGAAGTACCACAAAACATATGGAAAGTTAGAATTTCTGTAGGTCAAAAGATTTAATGACTGTTTTCCAACTGTATAAATGGTCATTTTAAATATCTTCCTAAAAAACAGAAAGGGGGGAGGGGAGGCTTGCTTTCAGGAAAGTATAGTATGCACTTCTAGTGACAAAAAGTAACTGTAAATGGTTACCGTACACAAGGAAGAACATTTCCTTCTGAAAGTAACTGTTTAACACTTAAACATTGATTGTTCACAATATCACTTCATTTCACAGTGCTTGTGTATACCTTTTACTTTATGCACTTCAAAAGATTTTAATATTTTATTCATGAGTCTCAAGGCCAAAGTCTCAGTTACTTAAAAATGCATAGCAAATCCAATGTATTCAAACATTCAATAAACTTAATCTGGTATTGTGGATTCATACCAAGATAGTTGGTCTTTGTCCCTTCCTGGCACAGAGCTGCTAAAAAGCTTGGAATTTCCTCAGTGATAAAGATGATAGGAGCCTTCTAATGAGGTGCCTCTTGGCAGGACCCTAGCTAGCTTTAGGATGGCGGCTGGTCACCAGAAAAGCCAACCCTTGATTAGAAGCGTGGAACTTTCAGCCCCACTCCCCAACCTCCAGGGAGGCAAGAGGGACAGGAGGTGGAGTTAATCACCAATGGCCAAAGATTTAGTTAACCATGCCTGCATAACGAGATTTCCATGAAACCCCTAAATGATGGGGTTCGAAGAGCTTCCCAGTTGACAAGCACATCCATGTGCCAGGAGAGTGGTGTGCCCAACCGCACGGGAACAGATGCACTCAAGATGCAGACACCTCCCTACGTGTCTCTCCATCTGGCTGTCCACCTGTGCCCTTTTAAATAAACCAGTAAGTTTAAACCGGTAAGTAACATGCCTTCCTGAGTTCTGTGATCCATAGAGAATTATTAAATTTGAGAAAGGGGGCTGTGGGAACCCCCAAATTTGTAGCAAAGATATAAATGCAAGAAACCTGGGAACTCGATACTTGCAACTGGTGTCTGAAGCAAGGTCCTCTTGTGGGACTGAGTCTTCAACCAGTGGTGACTGACATTAACTCCAAGTAGTATGGGAATTCAGTTTAATATCAGGCACCCGTCTGATGTCGCAGAATTGGAGAACTGGATGGTGCCAGGAGGAAAAAAATATTCAGATATTCTTCACGTTTTATAACATGTTTTATAAAAATTTGGTATCCTAATAAGTAACTGAGGCTCTGAAAAACCCTGAAGTGCTTAATGAGTCATACTAAGATTAAATTGTGCTGTATTTAGTTTAAGAAATAATTATTTACACTCCAGGTATAGAGTTTTTTAACAACATTTTCTTCTTTTCTAATTTTGTCCCATTCCTGGACGACGGCAGAAAAACCACCTGTTTTAGTTTCCTCTGGTTGCTGTAACAAATCACCATAAATTGGGTGGCTTAAAACAACAGAAATATGTGTTCTCCAAGCTGTGGAGGCCAGAAGTGCACATCAAGGTGTCAGCAGGTCCAACCACACTCCCTAGAGGCTCCAGGGATGAACCCGCCCACGCCTCTCTCGGCATCTGGCGAGCGTCCCTTGGCACCTTTTGATTTGTACCGCTTCCCTCTCTGTATCTCTGTCTTTTGTTTCCTTTTTATTATTATTAAGTTATTGGGGTAATGTTGGTTAATACAATTATATAATTTTCAGGTGTACATTATGATTTAACATCTATATGTTCTATTGTGTAATTATCACCCAAAGTCCAGTTTTCTTCAGCTACCATATATTTGCTCCCCTTTACTCCGTCTACCTCCCCCCTCCTCCCCCACCCCATTACTAACCACTACTCGATAGCCCTCTGGTAACCACTAGTCTATTGTGCATGTCCATGAGTCTCTGTTTGTTTGTCCTGTTCATTTGTTGCTTTTAGGTTTATATCCCACATATAAATGACATCATGTGATTTTCAACTTTTTCTGTCTGGCTGATTTCGCTTAGCATGATTATCTCGAGGTTCATCCATATTATCGCAAATGGCAATTTTTCATCTCTTCTTATGGCTGAGTAATATTCCGTTGTATATATGTACCACAGTTTCTTTAGCCAATCATCTATCGTAGGACATTTCGGTTGCTTCCATGTCCTGGCCACTGTGAATAATGCTGCTATGAACATCAGTGTGCACATATCTTTTTGGATATGGGTTTTCAAGTCTTTGGGGTAAATACCCAGGAGAGGGACTGCTGGATCATATGGTAGATCCATTCTTAGTTTTCTGAGGAACCTCCATACCATTTTCCATAGTGGCTGTACCAATGTGCAGTCCCACCAACAGTGTATGAGGGTTCCTTTTACTCCGCATCCTCTCCAACATTGGTTA